TTTGCATTCATTGAAGCAGCTCAGAATGGTTCACTCGTAACTCACCTTCCAGGCTTCAATGGCGTCTTCCCATCAAAGCACTATTCTGGGTAACGACTCTTTCTTCTTCTCTCGGGTGGGTTAATTCGAAATGGTGAAATAATGGGAGTGAGTTTGTTGGTGTTGCAGATATGTGAGCATAGGCCAGAAGAATCTCTTCTATTACTTCGTTGTTTCGGTGAGAAACGCCGTGAAGGATCCAGTTGTTTTGTGGCTAAATGGTGGACCAGGTTGCTCTAGCTTTGATGGATTTGTTTACGAACATGGTAATCTTCTCACCCCCACTTGCTTCTAGTTACTTTTATCACCGTGTTTATAAACTTATAAATCAACCTTGAGTCATTAATTTTTTGAATTTTAATTTGATACACATAAAGGAGATGATGGTTGCAGGTCCTTTTAATTTTGAAGAAGGGAAGCCCAAGGGAAGCCTCCCCACATTGCATCTCAATCCATACAGTTGGTCTAAGGTCAGAGGAAGGGCACTGCATGCCACACCCTTTATTGTTAACCTTTTTTATTGTTAATCACTCAATGTTTTAGCTTTTTTCCAGGTTTCCAATATCATTTACCTAGATTCACCGGTAGGCGTCGGCTTGTCTTACTCTCGAAACACAAGCACGTACACAACCGGAGACATTCAAACTGCTGTCGATACACATGACTTCCTCCTCAAGGTAATTTAAAGAACAATCCTATTGTTTAACTCCAACATATAGAGATTAAACCCGGGGACTGATTTTCTGTGTAGTGGTTTGATCTGTATCCGGAGTTCGTTAGCAATCCGTTCTATATCGCCGGAGAGTCGTATGCGGGAATTTATGTGCCCACTCTTGCTTCTCAAGTAGTGAAGGGTAACCATATTTTTTGCTGATCATAATGTATCATTGACTAGAGATTTCCATGTTAGACAGTATTGACTAGAGCTTTATTAGTATGATTATGATTTACCTTATGGTTTTAGGGATCAAAGATGGTGCAAAGCCCACAATCAATTTCAAGGTATATTATTGCATTATCTAGTAAGTTACAACTTGTGAAACGAAAAAGCTTTAGGATTGAGGAATTTGTAAATGCAGGGATATATGGTGGGAAATGGGGTGACTGACCCTGTTTTTGATGGCAATTCATTTGTCCCCTTTGCTCATGGGATGGCCCTCATTTCAGATGACATTTTTCAGGTACTTACAAATCGAATTACGGGTCTATATTTGATGTACTAATAGTGTATCGAATTAAATACCGTTATCTAATTTACTAACGGTGTCTAGATCTTGTAGCAAATTTGACATTGATGGGATGAATCATAATGAATATTGCAGGCAGTTGAAGTAGCTTGTGGGGGAGACTATTCTAACTCTTCTGAGACGTGCGCTGAAAAACTATCATATGTTTACGTGGTAAGAAATATAAACCAATTTTAATTTGTAATATTTTCCCCCCAAAAATATTACTTAATCACTTGTACTAATATATTAGAGAACTTATCAGGCGCTTTTGGGCCTAAATATTTATGACATCCTTGAACCCTGCTACCATGATCCTACCTCGCAACAACGATCGAAAGGAAACACAAGCTTGCCCCATAGCTTCCAGCAATTAGGGGTTACGTCGAGACCACTTGCAGTTAGAACTCGGATGTTTGGTCGTGCTTGGCCATTTAGGGCGCCGGTTAAGGATGGCATTGTCCCTTTGTGGCCTCAACTAGCACAGAACATTAAAAACAGTGTACCCTGTGTTGTAAGTTCTTTTTACTCTTCCATTCCTTGAAAATTTAATCACAATTTATCATTTATGGTGTATATACATTGTTTTGTATTGGCAGAACGACGAAGTCGCAACCAGATGGCTAAATGATGCAGCAGTTAGGAAGGCTATTCATGCTGAGACAGTAAATATCTGCCTCACTTTAAGTCCATCAGTAGCAACACGAGTTTATGATCCTTATATTGCAAATTCGACTCATTTCACCATCGATAATTCACTGCAGGAAAACGTAGCAGGGCCTTGGGTGTTATGTACAGATAGAATACACTATTATCATAATGCCGGAAGTATGATTCCGTACCATAAGAACCTAACGGTCGGAGGTTATCGAGCGCTTATTTACAGGTAACTCAATGTTCAACAGCTCATTATTCTTTTTCTTTTGAATCTTAATGTTTAAATGCCATGATTCATATGCAGTGGAGACCATGATATGTGTGTGCCTTACACTGGGAGCCAAGCCTGGACCAAGTCACTAGGATACAAGACCGTGAGTCCATGGAGATCATGGACCTCTAATGACCAGATTTCTGGGTAAATTTCTCTTTCAGACTAACATAGATTACAAAATCATGTTTACTTTGGCCTTTTGTCTTCAATTAGTAGAATTTAATTAGTGATAGCAACTGGATCTTACAATTGTCAGTTTGCAGTTCACACCATTAAAAGTATGTTTATGACCACAACAGCAGAACCCATCGAGTGCCCTCAATGGTAGAGAATGTTATAGGATCCAATTTTGAATATTATGTCTACAAGAGTGTGTGCATTGTTAATGGCTAAAAAGATTCATTTCTTTTGGTTTATTTACCTTGCAGGTACTTGCAAGGATATGACCATGACCTTACCTTCCTAACCATCAAGGTTTGACACATTCAATCTGTGTTTCTCTAACAATGGAACTTTAAGTTGGATTTTATAACGAAAAGATATGAACTGAATGTGCAGGGTGCAGGGCATACAGTCCCAGAATACAAGCCAATGGAAGCGTTAGAGTTCTACAGGCGATGGTTGGATGAGAAACCTATATGAAGATTGATGATACCATTTCTTTATCAACCCCAAAAAACATTTCCTTTTTATTACAATCAATGAAATAATTAATAAAATCATTGGCCTTTTTACTTTAACACTCCGATTTAAGCAAGTTGTTGGAGCCTGAAACTTTGTTGCAAATAAAAAAATAAGTCACCTTCTTTCAACTCGAGAAAAATAACATCTTTTGTTGCAAATAAAAGTAGTAGTCATAATAATCAACAATCCAAAGGAATAATAAATAAAGATAGAGCTGGATTTACAAAATTTCCAATTCTACCAACGCAACATGCATGCAGAACTTACAAAACGGGAAAAAGAAAGCACTAAACGGACCTTACTTACTTGAGAAAGCTCTCCTTGTCCTCCTTTTCCGGAATGAACCTTGGGAGATTCACAAGCGTATTGACACGAGACACTCCTTCCAGGGCCGACCAATCCACTCCTCCATCCGAATTCATCTCCTCGTGCTTTGAGCCATCTTCATTGTCATCAACAAGTGTTTCTTCAACCGTCCCGGACTGGATGAGAGGGGTTAATACATCGAGATTTTCTTTCTCGTTGTCATCGACATCGTCAATGTCATCGTCAACTTGGCTCTCCGAAACTGGCTGCACTTTGGTCTTGGCATTAGAAGCAATCGACAAATTGTTCAAGTTCGAATCAAGGAAGAGGCAAACAACAGCACAATCATCGACTTTTGAAGTTGGGTATTTATATCTCCAAGCTCGGACTGCTACCTCAACCAATGCTCGAGCCGCAGATGAACGAGCTGGGGCCGACGATATAATATCCACCACTTCTTTATTCGAAAGAACATCCCATATCTGCAAAATAATGAAGGCAGCCTTAGAAAAGGGGATAAGGCTCAAATGTCATTTGATATTTCGAATAAGAATTCATGTTCACTCTATTACCCCATCTGTTGCCAAGACAACAAATTCGTCTTTCTCCGATAGGTGCCGATAAGATACTTCAGGCATGGAGATCAGGCCAAAATCCTTCAAGCAAAAATCTCCAAACGCCCGAGCCATAGCAAGGCCAGGTGAATCATTGTTTGGTAGCCAAACTCGGGTCACCTCAGGTTCATCCGCAAGAGCAAATACACGACCTTTACATCTTCGAATTCTCTCTGCTTCCGCTGTAAAGAGGGAGGGAAAAAAATTAGTGTTTAGCATGGGCTCAGTATTGGAAAGTATAATAGGTACCCCTAAAGGGTATTCCCCATTGACTGCAAAATCAACTTCATCTAAATTTTCACAAATCCATCAATAGTGGAAAACCAAGTAGGACTAGACTTAATACTCTGTCATGTCAACCAATTAAGATGGGCTAATCAGCAGGCAGCACAAAGCGAGACGTATGCAGCAAACACAAGGAGATGGGCATGAGAATGGCTATGGTGGGGCATGAAATAATTCTAGTATATGTATGTATGTGTAATAGTTGCAAAGAGAGAATCATCGTTGCTTTCATGTATCATAGATTCTATTCTAAAACTCAGTAGAAAACAACATTATAGAAAACATGACTGCAGTTTCTGATATGCATGCACTTGTGTACGAGTAAAACATTACCTGGAAGATTCGGTTTAAGATCAACAGTTAACTGAACTGCAGTAAGTGAATCATCTTTGTCCCTTGTACCCAGCCCAGCTCTCGAGTCCCCAACATTTCCAATGACAAGGTATGGACCCTATACAATTAGCCGAGACAATTATGATTAACTACAAAACATATCATAACATAAATTTTCAAATAAAGCTTTTAAAATTTTGCTGCTGTATACCTGCTTGACCAAAGTTACAGCTGTCGTCCCACTGCAGAAGCAATCAATACTCGGATGCATTCTAAGTTCCCTGTCCATTGCTTTGTAAGCCTTGAGAAAACACACTTTAAGAGTCTCAAACAAATCTGGGTGCTTATCTGTTTCTTTAAGATCTTCAGAAGCCCTAGATCCCTCATCAACTGACAAAAGATCCATATCTTCAGAGTTCGTGCTTCCTGCTGCGTTCAAACCGAAAGCATCCTCACTGGATATATTAACATCCCAGTGAGCACTCAGTTTTAAGGGAAGGCGGTCTCTGACTCTCTTTGCAACCAAATGACCGTACGGACCATGGCCATCAAAAACACCACAAAACTGTATCTGTTCTTGAACAAAAATCTGGGAAATGACAACATGATAATGAGAAAGGGAACATTAGCACAAAAGAACCAAATTAGTAACAATCTTTAGTACAGGGAGAAATTGGCGATTTGCTTTACAGATATATCATTACAGTACCCCTTATAATCAAAATAGAGAACAAATATTCCGGGAATAAAAATGGATTTAACATCAACACCTTCTTCACCCACCAATGTTCATCCATAGAAAGAGTTAAAGAACATTTTTATTAACCAGTCCACAAGCATTACCTTCATCAATTGTTCCCAATATGTAAGATCAGCTACATCGATAATATTTGACCATTATGTTCTATTTAGAACCATGCCATCAGCAAGTTTGATAAAATATGTAATAATTTACACTTGGCAACCACAACGTTTGCGGTCTTCCTCTCCCTCTAGTGACATTTTCGTCATGAATAAAAAGATAGTATCACAAAACAAATCCCAAGGTGTCTCAAACAAACACAAAGGCCCCTAAACACAAATAGTGAAGTATCATTTCATGTAGCAACTAATGATTGGATTAAATAGTGGAAAAGTTGCAGTCAATTGATTTTTTTTTAAATGTTGCTTTTACTCTAATAAGAAAGCTATGAAGATCTGATAGGTAGAAAGGAACGTAAAAGCTACATAAACAATTAAAAACATTAAAAAAAACCCAACAAATCATATTAAAACACCGTGGGGATGGCAAACAGTTCGTTCATCCAAGAACCCTTTTAATATAAATTGATTGTTTTCAAAGGCTCAAAGCTATACAAGATAAACATAACACATGAAGTCAAATATATAAAATGACCACTGATTGATTGGAACAATAATTTAACAAACAAAAAAGTAATTAACATGAGAGAAATAGATAAAATGAGCTAACCTCCCAAACAATCATGGCATCCTGGTTGGTTCCTTTCTTGCCCTGTTGAGTATAGAGTGAAGAAACATCAGTGGATCCATTCAAGAACAACCTCCAAGGAATCCTATGTAAGGGTTCGTCCTTCCTGTAATCGAAGGAAGAACTCCGAGAGCCGAGCCCCTTCCTCGAGTTCCTCCTCTTCATATTCGCCAAATGAGGGGACAAAGGCGAACCAGGGAGAGGGCTCCTGCTTTCAGCAGATAAGCAGGACCCCATTCTGAGGGCCCTGATAATGCTTAATATGCACTCCAGACCAGCAAAACAATAGCAACCCCTTGTGTCTTTTGATGGATCCGTCGTGATTGTTGGGTTGGATCCTTAAACAAACCCTTTTCTGGCTAATGTTTTGATTGATCTACCAAATAATCCTTTCAAATTTATATTTCAAAACTTTTCTTCCCAATTCAGAGCTATAAGTATTGAAGATACCTTGATTTGCTCTTCAATCTCCTAGAATTCTAATCTTAAAGCAACCCTTCAAATCTCTACAATAATGATCTAATGTTGAAATTGGCAGATACCCTTTACCAGTTTCAATCTAATGATCACATCAATCCACAATTTAAATCTCACAAAGTGGTTCCAATAAAAACAAAAATCTCAGAATCAGCCAAAAGACAAAGAAACAAAAGATAGTTGGGCGTCTAAAGCTTTCTAATTTGCAAAGGAAGGAAAAGAATTTCGTGATCGATGGAAAACGAATGATGAAAAGGAATCTCAAATTTGGTTTTTTATCCTAATCATAAAGCAAATAATAAAAAATCGAATTGAAACATTAATTCTAAATTCAATAACTTCATTAAAAAAAAGGAACAACCTTTCGAATAAATTTGTCAAAAAGAAATAAATGAAAGAATTGAGAAAGATCCTATAATTCACACCATAAACTACCCAAAAGTGCAAACTTTCTTCAGAGGATCAATGGCAAAGGTAATCAAATCCGTGGTCAAGATCCACCCAAAAAAGGGGCTAAGGCTAAGAATTGATAGCAAAGAATATGAAAGGAAAACAAGAGAAAAAAAGGGCAGTTTGAGGGATGGTGGAAGAAAGGAGAATTGAAGAGAGAGAAAGTGAGATTTGCTTTAGAGAGAGAGAGAATAAGGAGATGGCATTTGATTGTGGATAAAAGCGAAAGAGAGACCAGGCAGCGGGTACTAATTAGCGAGAGAGAAATAACCGCAACCCCCAACAATAAATTCCCCCTCTTTAAATATAAAATAAAACCAGGAAAACTTATCTAATCCAAGATTTTTTTTTCAAGTAATTATTAATTAAATTTTTAAATGAATAATTATCCTTCTTAGTTCTTTATTAAAATTAAGATATTAATATAAATCAAGTGACTTGAGCGATTAATAAATTTGTTGTTTTTATTTAAGGTCCTAAACTTAAATATTACGTATGTAAATGAATGGATCTTAATTGTCAAAAGATTTAGATTCTTTGAATAGATAATATATTTCATTCACCTCAAATTTATTAGTTTTTAATATTTTTAATTTATTATTATATAATTTTATGCCATTTAATTCACATAAATAATCGTTATTTCAACACGTGCCGATAATTATTTTTTTATTTAGAAATATATTTTTATTTTATGAGATAAAAAATAATTAAAATACTGTATATTAATATATTAATTATATATAAATTTTAATAGTTTAAATCATAATAAAAGTTTCATTTAAAATTAATATAAAATATAATTTTATATTTCGTAAATTTTATATATTTAAAATTTTATTTTATTATTATAATATTTATTTATGTGAATGTTTAATATGATTATAACATTACGCATTAAATGTAATTTTGATGTATTTTATTATTAAGACTTAATTTCAATATGATATCTACTTTTTATATCTATAAATATGAAGTTCAGATAAAATATTATAAACAATTTATATAAAGATAATAATACGGATTTCTTTATTTATTCTTACATGATAAGATGTTAACTATTTTACATAAAGATAAAACAAAATGAATAATTCAATTAATAATTTTACCTTCGGATCGTTTGGATAATTATAAAATTTATTCATCAGTATATTATTTATTTTAAAATTTGAAGATTAATGATCGAATAGAAAATAATTAGTTTAGAAATAGTGGATGAGATGTAAATTTATATAATTATAAATTTTAAAAAAATAATGATGCTTTTGTATATCATAAAAAGTCACATTGACATACAAATGAGGCTATTGAACTAATAATTCTACCTGTCAGACCATTTGGATAATTAGAATTATATAATTAATTTTTTTAAATTAATCAATTATATTTATATGATATTACAAATAGTATTTTAAATAACTATATACATAGAACTTTCTCTTTTTTTTATTTCCTTCAATCATGTTTTTGGTTCACTTTTCCTTCCCTCGTCTCATCAAAGGACGGTAAGAATTAAAGATTATAAAATATAATTAAATTAATAATTTAAATATATTTAAATAAGATTTATACATAATAAAATTAAATTTATAATAATTTTTTAACTAAAATCTAAGGCTTTTCCACCCATATATCACTCAAAACTAATTAATTATCAAAATAATACACATTGATAATTAATTTCCGATTAAACACCCAATTTTGTCACGTAGGCAAAGGTGCATTTTACAAGAAGCGTCTTTTGTTGATCTCGATCAAGTTAGACTGAAATAAAAGAAAAAGAAAAATATTGTCAAAAATATGAAAAAGTATGTAAATTTTGTCCAAAAAGAACAAACATACGCGATGTGTATCAAGGGCACGTAATTACATGAGTCAAGTTAGGCGATGATGATGCTATGTATTAACCTTATGTTTAATCATTTAATAAATAAATACTTAAAATATTATATTTAAATACTTGAAACCCTGCATATCTAAATAATATGGGCTAATACGCATACATCGTCGTCATTGCTCGGTCTGCCTCGAGCTTGTGCTAGTGCAATTATGTGTCTTTGACACACACCCAGAAGTAGAACTAGGAATCTATCATAGTCGGGGTTAAAGTATTCCTTATTTTTCATAAATATATTTTTTAAAATTAAGGAGGACTAATAAAAAAAATTATTTATTTTTTAAATAAATATATATATAATATTTTTTTAAAAATTGGCGGGCCAAGGCTCCCCTTGATACCCACTATGTTCTACCCTCCACACACCATAAATGTTTATTCTTTTTAGATAAAATCAGTATAATTTTCTTTCATATTTTTTACTCCTATTTTCTTTTTCTTTCATTCCAACCCAACTTAAACAGTTTATGGAAATAACAAATAAGCTGTAAGTATTTAAATTAAGAATAAATTATGTATTTAGTATTCAATTATCACTTAAGTTCTGTTTTGGTCATCTAACTATTTTTTTTAAAAATAATCACTAGCATCATGTTTTGGTTTTCGTTTTGTCACACGTCATTAAAAAATTAAGGATGATGTTAATGTGTCACCACAAGGTAATGTTTCGTCATCATTGGAAAAAAATAAAAATAGTAACGTCAACAATTCTGTTTTTTTAACAGTGGATGACCAAAATGGAATCAAAATGTAATGTTAGTGATAATTTTGAAAAAAAAAAATATTTGAATGACTAAAACAGAACCAAAACTATAGTCGGGTGACTAAATATATAGTTTACCCTTAAATTAATAGCGGTTTGATTAACTTGTTGGGAGATTTTGGACAGTTGGAACGGGAACATTATTGAAAGACAATATCTTTTAAGTGAATTGAAAATAACAAATTGTTGTTATTCAAATATGTAAATCGCAATGCGAATATGTAAATCGCAATGCGAGTATGTAAATCGCAATACGAATATGTAAATTGCAATGCGAATATGTAAATCACAATGCGATTCTGACTATCGCAATGCGATTCTGACTGTCGCAACGCGATTCTGACTGTCGCAACACTGAATTTCAAATTCGCAACAGGTTTTAGTTTCGCAACACAAATGTTTTGGGTATATAACTACGCAGCAGAAGCAACTCATAACCTAAATCCCTAAATCGCAACTCATTCCATCTCCATCTATCACTCTCTTCGGCGACATCCGTTCCTATATCCAACGACATCCTTCCCCATCCGGCAACAGGTTTTAGTTTCGCAGCTTGTTTGTTTAGTAAATTAATTTACAATAATGAAATCATCTAATGTTGATCATGTTTGGATAGATTTATGTTTTGGAGGGTCATAGGAGAATGTTCATGGTGTTTTACAATATATGCCTTTACCCATGAATCTTCAACTAAAACTTTCATTAAAAAAGTTAACTTATGAAACTCTAATGTTACATGTTGCAAATAAATTGAATTTAGAGCCCTTAAGTGGATTTAGGCTATCTTATCAGAAAGGTAAAGTTTATTTGTTAACCGACAATGAAGAGTTGACGATTCATTGCTTACATTAGTGTTTCGCAATGATGTTACATTGTATGTTGTTGAACCTAGAAGTAGTGAAGTTGGGTCAGTAGCGGGTAGTAATCAACTAAGTTTTTCAACCCCAGTTTATGGTGCTCAAAATTTAATGGTTCCACCACAATTTCATCACCAAGCAAATTTTGTTTCACCACATTTCCAATACCAAACACAATCTCAAAACCCACAACCTTTCCCTAATCCAAATCCCAATCAACTTTCAGCACCAAATTCCGGTTTTCGTATTAACCAGTTAGACGATGATGAGCCAACAGAAAAAATTGTGAGTACTAGTCGGTATTCAAAATTTGATCTTGGTCAATACCCGGACTTTGATCTTGGTCAATACTCGGATTTTGATGATGTTTCAGAAGAAGAAACAGACCCTGCGTGTAATGATTTTGATTATGTGTCTCAAAAGACCTCACACATGTTCCAAAGAATACATATTTGTCCCGAACGACCGCGTAGACCCTTGACTCTTGGCATGACAACTATACCCTATCTCTCATGACACATAACACGGGCATCATCATTTATGTCATTTCACATTTTCACATAAACACGTAGTTCACTTTCACATAGCACGTAGATTATGTCACATAAGTTGAATCACATATACGTATAAACATGTAAATCACTTTCACATATCGCGTAGCTCATATCCACTTTTTATACTATTTCACATTTCTTGTCACATTGCTTATATCTTATTTTTTATGTCTTATCCTATGTAACATCCCAAATCAGGGTCAGTGACTAAATTGCAAATTTTGAAAGTTTTGTGCTTAATTTAGAAATAAATTAAAAGTCTCGGGAGTTAATTAAAGAATTTTAATATTGGATTAAATAGCAAATATGGATGAACTAAAGGGGCAAAATGGTATTTTCATGGGAAAGATTTTTATCTTCCCTTTTTGAGTATTATAAAACGTGGGAAATATGAGAGAGTTCCAGACTTCTCTTCTTCATTCTCTTCTTTTCCACCGTGAAGCCATAAGTAAAGGTAAGATCTCTTGTTAGTTGATATTTAGCTGAATTTAGGATTTGGTTATGATTATTGGATGATAATTAAGCTTAAGGAAAGCTTAAATCATCTTAAAAACAAAGGATATACAAAAAAAAGACATATATTAGTGAATTACATAAATTTAAAAAAAATTAATCAAAATGAAAATTAAGAAGAAATATAAGACTTACCCCCCATCGAAATAGCCATTGTCTTCAACCCCTAATAACACACCCCACCAAGACCGTTCAATCAACAAATGCATATCATCGTTAAGTTTGTATATGTCAGCGTAACACCCTTGGCTCCGCTCATGTAGATAAAAATCAACTGCGGTCTTAGCCCAAAGGGTATTATCCAAAATTGTTTCTGGTAGTTGTTTCCTCTCCACTTCATCTACCGGAATGGTACTGGCCGGTAACTTATACGAAAGCCAACAGTCATCCATCATGTCCGGCACGTGAGGGGGTTTCTCAATAATTCGATATATTATGCCGTGTGAATCGGGCTCTAGAATGTTGGGAGGGACCTCTTCAACGATGACAGTGGTCTCTTGAACGGTGGGAGGGGACTCTTGAGGGATGATAGGGGCATCTTGAACGATAGGGGAGGCCTCTTGAACGATGACAGGTGAGTCAGGCTTTTTCTTAAGGATTCTTCGCATTATTGGGGTGAACGAAGACTTAATGGTACGTGCACACCGTCTGATGCGTGAACTCTGTCTTGCAAGAAAAACCCGACGTAGAGCATCCACCTTAGCGGGCCACTAAAAATAAATTAATACATAAATCAGTAAATAAATAGACAAGATATTAAACAGTGAAAACAAAGACAAATATATTTCAAACTTGCACGGTATTCACCCAAGTCATTATTCTATCATTGTTCAAAATGCATCAGATAACATTTCAAAAGTAATCACTTATATAAACATTTAAAAAGACAACATATAGGTTTAGTGCAGGTTCAATGACAACATAAAGAATAGTAGTTTATTCTTGAAACTTAAATTTTCAACACTGTGAAGTTAGTATTTGTCTTTGTCTTTTGGTTGAAGTAATGCAATTCATTCAAGTTTCAATTTACAGAAGAAGAATAGAATCTGAAACTTAAAATCATAACACGAATGATTATCGCAACGCGAAAATGACTATCACAACGAGAGAATCGCAATGCAATTTTCATTTCGCATTGCGATTCTTTCGTTGCGATAGTCAAATTCGCGTTGCGAAAGTAAACTATTCTTCTTCTGCAAATTGAAACTTGAATGGATTGCATTACTTCAACCAAAAGACAACCAAAAACAAATACTAACTTAACAGGGTTAAAGAATAAATAGTTTAGCAGTATTGGCAGCAACCGAATGAATTTACTAAGCAATATAAGTGAAATGGTTAACTAAGTGAAATGGTTAATCTAAGTGAAATTATGAGTAAATTTATCATCAAGTTAAATATGAAAAATATTAAACTTACCTCGTTGCGTAGAGTATGAACCTCATTCTGCAACAATGCTACCATCTCACGTAGAGCGGCTACCTCACCACGTAAAGTAGACACCTCAACACACCATGCATCATTGTCATCGCGTAAAGTACAGACCTCCTCACGCAAGGCATTGTCCTCATCACGTAACTCCCCTAACTCATCTCGTGGAGGTGGAGAATAGGGAGATAAACGTTGAAATTTGAAAAAAATACGCGTTGCAATAATAATGGCGCTTTGAAAATCGCATTGCGATGGTCAGAATCGCGTTGCGACAGTCAGAATCTCGTTGCGATAGTCAGAATCGCGTTGCGCTAGTCATACTCGCATTGCGATTTACATATTCGCATTGCGATAGTCGGAAAATCGCAATACGAATTTGGGAAATCGCAATGCGATAGTCAGAATCGCGTTGCGAATATGGA